CTTCGCTTATTAAAATTAATTTTATTAAACAGTCCTCTCAGGCATCTTTCACACATGAACTTTCTTTTAAAATTACTTCATGTTACTATGAAAAGCAGTTTGCATTAAATATCAGGAGAGATGGGTGCATGGTTTAAAAAACATGGTCTCTGCAATTAGTCCAGCCATAATATTAGATTGAAAAAAATTTCCTTCCAGGGTCCTTATCATTATTGTGGAGTATTTGTTCTTTGAAATTTTTGCCTTGTTTTTAAAATCACCTTATTATGCAACATCTGCTCTGAATTTCAAATGTGATAAACAGAGTATGAGTGTCGGTGGCAGATGGCTAATGACCAGCAGCGACAGGGCATTCAAGCCTGCCTTGTTTTCTGAGAAGCGATATTTTCATGTTAATTTGCTCTGTGTCCTGCAAAGATGAGACAAATCACCTGCTCATAATTCAAGCAAAGTGGGGACCACCAGGAGCCGAGAGGGGCCATGGCTTGCTTCCTTAAGGGGGGAGAGGAGAGAAGGCTCTGGGAGACTTTCTTCATCTGCAATACAGGGGGGACCAGTCAGTCACCCTGCATTATGTCAGCTTGAGAAAGATGAATCAGCCCCGGGCATCCCATACTGACACCAGAGCCACTGTTTACTGCAAGCAGATATTATTCATGAAAACAGATATTTCCCAGAGGCAGAAAACAGGTGCTATTAAGAGTGTGTGTCAGTCTCTGAAGTCTGGGTTTTGTAAAATAAACCTAATAGTACATTTTATCTCCTACTGAAACTATTACAACCAACAGAAATCTCTAAGAAACATCCAACTGAAGATAAAATGAAATGTAATTCAGAGAAAATGACCCACACAGACATACAAACCTTGAGCTTTTTGGCCTTCTCAAGCCCTATAGAGTTCATTTGTTATAGAGATACATAAATAAAATGTGATTTTTACTCCAAGATCGAGTCATCCAAAGAGGCCATATGGTCTTGAGCAAAAAGAACGCTGTCCTATTTTGGAGAGGCAGCTGATCTTCTGTGACCTTTCAGTGCCTTCGAATTTCTACTTGTGAAATCATATAGCCAATTTTTATCAAACATGTTACATTTAGAGAATATTCGAGGAATGATACTAGGTTCTCCAAGAGTTTATAAGATAATGGAGAGGTCATTTACTAGGAAAGATAATGGACTATATAAAAAGAGGCCTATCAAATGATAGTTCAGAAAAAGAAGGCATGACATTTTGAGAACATGTAAAACATAAGATTGTACACAGGTAAGGATGTGTATCCTGCCATACAGTAGTTTTTTTTTTTTCTGGTTAGCAGTTAGAAATGAATAAGGAACAAGGCAAGGGAATTTATTTATAGTTCTTTTTGATCCTTTCTTATAGAGTGGCAGAAAAAGGCATGAAAGAGAAACAATAACAATCTGAAAGCCCTGTTTTTTTTTTTCTTATAAAGCCCCCATAAATGGAAGGTGCTCTATAAGCACAAATATTCAAAATTTATCAAGAACCCTAAAAGAAAAATAGAATCATTAAGGTGTCAATTCCTGCCTCATAGGTTTTAGCATGGAATTTCAAGAAGACAATAATCAAATCTCAAATGATCGAATAAAAATTAAATAAAGACAGCCCTGAATTCTTCCATAATTAAGTAGATCAAAAAATAACTTCTGAATTAGAAAGAGGAACGCAAGATATGGCAATGATAAGCCTATGAGGCAAACTTCGATATTTGTCGACTTTACAGTATAGCAGGCAATAGGCTTCTTTGTGCAAATGTTACTGTCAACATGAATGGATATACCTTAAAACATCAAGAAAAGAGATTAAAAAAGGTGATGAAAACCTCAATATGAAATATAAATAAGATGTATTTATGTGCTTATATTTTTAGAATAAGGTGTATTTTTAAATGTTGGAAAGAATCACCTATGATTTTATTTTATTCTCATGAACCTCTCTCAATGATAATTTCTAGTTCAGGACTATATCCTTAACTTACTTTACCAAAGTCTGATGTGAGCACTATGCAATCATCACAAGATTCCCTATTATAGGCTCACCCACCTATCTACCTTCACAAATACTTAGAGACTCAAGGGTGGTTTTCTGCCTTAAAAAAACAAACAAATGGTATTTAAATGCATTTGAAAAACTGTTATGTGATATGTGTGAACTGGGAAAATAAGGCCATCATAGGCTCTTTTCTAACAAACAGGTTGATGAAAATGGGACTGAACACAAAGATTTTACCCCTATAACATCTAGTCAGGGACTATGGAACATCCCAGTTTTATCCAACTACTGCCCACCTAAATGCAGTTTATGTCCTGAACGTGCACTAGACTATCTTGCATTTAGATGGGCCAACAGGGAAACAGTGCCACAGAAAACACGGTGAGAGGCAGGCAGTTGAGGAAAATTCCCTTAGCCTAAATGATCTTATATGAGATAGTTTCTTCATTTTGTTTTATATTTATTTCATGTTAAAATACTTTACATATTTATAATTATTTTGCAATATGGTTATGTTCTGATATGTGCTAGACAATGTCAACAACAACATCTATGATTTTGAAGAACAGTTTAGAAAGTATTTTGGTACCATAATGTAAAGAATCAGCTGTAGATTATGTTTATTGACAAACAGCTTTTTTTCCTTACTTGAAAACACCCAACCAAACTATTTAAATAACCATAGAGAATGTGTATCCATGCTTCTGTGTGCACTTTATCTCTTCCCTTATACTTGAAGGTCCTTGAACTTATGTTCATGACTAATTCAGTTTTGTGTCACCAAAGTGCCTAGTACAGAACTCTCCCTATAAATATTCAGTTAATATCTGTATAAGTATATTCGGAAAAACTCTTATTACAACAAAGAATTCTATACAAAGAATCCAATCTGTGTTCCCAATAGGTTGTTCATAATAACAACATTTTCTTGATATAGTTGAGACTTCTCATGAATAAGCCTACATAATAACGAAATATTTGTTATCTGGTTGTGTGCTTCAATTAACCAGAACCTCAACTAGCCAGAACTCTCCACTTAGCAGATGTTTGTCCTGCATACCAATTCTTAAAAAGAAGTCAATCACAGAAACAAAAGATATGTGTTCATTAAAAACAAATTTGTATCAATTACACATTCAGCTTAAAACTACCCATTTGATAGTATTCTAGTGCTTTTAAACGATTATTCATGTTTTAAATAATGACCTTAAAAGACCACAGATGTTCAAATTACCAAAAAAAAAAAAAAACCAAAACCCTTATATTTAATAAGAAAGAAAAATAGATAGCATAGTTCAGAAAGTTTTTAAAAATTAAGGATGAAGACAAAAAGGAAGAGAGATGCAGAACAAGTGCTATAAGAAAGATGAGATTACATCCAGCTGTAAAAGTCGATCAAATGATATCTAGGGTGAGCTTTGGAAAAAATTAAGCAGATGGTTATGGGCAGGGAAAGCAGAGAAATGGCAATGAAAAGGAGCTCTACAGAGGTTAGGAAATTATGAACCACACTAAAAGAACGTGGATTGGTCCAATTTGGCCAGAAAATAAGAGTACATGAAAAGGGGCTATGCCCTGTCCCGCATGCTGAACATGGGGGTTTGGACGAACTCATAGAGGAGAGAACTGAAGCCATAGGACTGGAACAGAATTTAAAGGAAAAAAGATGCTGAGATAGAGCTGATAATTAGAAATACCTACACTTAAAGGGATTTAATGAACTTGAAACTGCTCAGGAAGAAATGAGACGATTACTGAGGACATTTCCTTTTATAAAAGGCAGATGGGGGAAAATAAAGTCTATATTAGTCTACAGCCAAAGGAATAAATCATTCAACATGTCAAGTTCTAAATGTATCTGTATCTAGCAATCGCTAAAAGACATTTTCTACTCTGTTCAGAAAAATAAACTATTTTCAGCTATTCACTCCTATCTAAAATGATGATGAATTCTTTTTAAATATTTTATTTTTGTATTTTTCAATCAGCTGACATTCAATATTATTTTATCTTAATTTTAGGTGTACAGCATAGTGATTAGACATTTACATAATTTATGAAGTAATCCTCCCAATAAGTCTAGTACCCACTAGGCACCATATATAGTTATTACAATATTATTGACTATATTTCCTATGCTACACTTTACATCCCTGACTATTTTGTAACTATCAATTTGTACCACTTACTCCCTTCACCTTTTTCTCCTAGCTCTCCAACCCCATCCCATCTGGAGACTGATGCTCAATTCTATAACTCATTTCTAAATTATGAATGATAAAGTAAGGAGTCTGCTTAATTAAGTCAACTAATTCACAAAAACAAAAGGGTCTTCATGAAAATCTGCACATGACGTGCATAGATCTAAAAGATCTACTAGGAAATTCAATTAAGCAGAATGGAAGTAAGACCAAGAAAACTTTATAAGTAGCTTTTACATTAGATTTAAAGGAAGAAAGAACGCCTAGTGAGTACACTGTTATCTAGCCTGCTGACCTCCTTATCTTTGAATCCCAAGAGTCTGGGATTGTTCCTGGCATTTAGGCTTTCTACAAATGTTTTATGAATGAGAAAAAAATGGAGAAAGAAGGGCCTAACAACCAGTATTTCAGACTTACATAGCATAGCTACTTCCTGCAGTCAGTATACAATTACAATATTTAATACGCTCATGAATAATGTTTCAAATTATATCTCCAGAGTCCATGAACCATCAGAAAAAGACTGAGTTGTATTTACTACACTATACTTTCCAAAGTTAGAGCCATATAATGTACAAGTAGATATTTTTCAATAAATGTATTGGAACGAAATGAACTAGGATATGTTCCATTCTGTAAACATTCGCTTAGTTATATTAGATATACTTACCTATATATTGAGTTACAAAAGCTTTAATTCTGCAAATTTTCACAAAGAAAGAATGCCATTGATTAATAGACTATAATAGTGTGACTGTCTGACCAGGCAGAAAGATGATTCTTAGTACCTTTATGGTTTCAGTGGGCACTCCAGGCTCTGGGACTTTATCCAAATAAGTGGTCAAGTCTTGATCAACATGTTCAAACACTAATGTTAGTTTGGTTTCTCTGTCTGTTCGTGACACTGTACACACATCGAATAACCTAAAAGAAAAAAGAAAGAGATATTAAGTAACTGGTAGTAAGCAAAGAAGTAACCTGTACATCTTACACATACCCCTATTTGATCAAATAGAAAAAAAAAAAAAGGCCAGTGTCGACCATTCCTTGTGATAATATGTAAGGATACCTAATGAGATCTGACACTTTAATATTAATATAAAAGTTCAGAAGAGGAGCACTTGATTAAGTGGTGACAAATGCATAGTAGCCAAGAGAAAGCAACAGGCTGGAGCATGAAAATATCTCCTTGGAGAGTCTCCTTAGTTAAGACCTTAGGCAGAACTTGCTGATGGAGATAGTTTCAAAAGCTGCAGCCTAGGAAAAATATGGTTCTTAGCTCGCAGTTCAAGAATTATTAAAGAGACAGACTGAGCATTCTTTGGAGATGCTGGACTGTGCGATGAAGTTTTTTCTGGAATTTAAGGTGTTATAATCATGCCTGTGAAAATAAGTATAGTGGAATACGGAGAAGTTTGGTTTATTTTTAAGAGAGCCTTCTCATCCTGATGAATCAAATAACTTCCCTGGAAAGGACATAAATTCTTTGTTTTAAAATTCTAGATATCATGCTAATCAACACTGAAATTTAAACTTTTTTCGGGGGAAGGGAGTAAAATTGCATTGGTAAACTATATCACCCTTAAATGATAAAAACAGACTAACAAATTTAATAATTAAGTTTGGATGAGTGAATTCAATATCTTCCATAAATCCCACAACTAGTTCAAAATTTAAGTTTTAAAAACAAAGCCTTTAGCAATAAAAAAATGTTCAAGCCAAAGGACAAATTTTCCTTTAATTTCAACCACACATACATAGCACACTATCTGGTACATGAGATACTCAACTAAACATTTGAAGAATTAAACAAATCAACCATAAGCCTATTTCTTGAAAAATGTAATATAAATGCTAAGAAAAGGCTAATAAAATACTATTCATATTGTTTTTTTTTCCATTTAAAAAAAGAAAAATGTAATATAAATGCTAAGAAAAGGCTAATAAAATACTATTCATATTGTTTTTTTCCATTTAAAAAAATTTAATAATGCTGTCTTCAAAGAGACTAAATATAAATGAGCATACAACCCAATTACTAAAATGCAGGGTCGACTCTCAATTATCCACTTTGTATATTACCGTTGTTAAAGTTTTAATGCTTAGATGGTTCACCATGCCACCCTACTGTATTGCTGGGCTATGTGAGGCCCACAACATTTGGTACTTCTCTGTGAATCTAAACTAAAATTTAATAAAAGAAACCAAAGAACACTATAATTAAGTTAAATCTGCTGGGGGAGAACCATCACCACCACCAACCACACACACTTCACAGCCAGATCCAAAATACGTTTTAATTATGGGTGGTTTGGGGTGAGTTCTACAACTCCATTAAAATCGGTTAAGGTCAGCTGAATTTCTTCCTCACATTTATTTCCAAATATTTTGATTGCTAAAGTTTTTATCATCTACTTCTAAAGTTAATTTTATCTAAATGCCAAAGTCTTCCAATGTTACTAATGTGACTTATTCCGGAAAATTATTCTGATAAAATAAAAATTCCTCATTAGTAAATTCATTAAAGATAGTACCATAAATCATAAGTGCCATACTATGAAAAATATGATTGCTATTATGAATGGATTTGACACCTGGGATGTTTATCAAAACAACTGTTTCCATTTGGTAATTTGAGGTAACTACCATTAATTCATGGACTCCTGGGAACCACCTTCTTTCCATTAAACCCACATTCTTTACTGCTTCATTTTTCTTCCTTTTGAAGAAAAAGGATTTCCATAATCACCAAGCTTCTATTTGTTGCTTCTATTTTTGAAATAAAATAAAACAGCAATGAATCAAAAATTGTATGTACTAAAATGAAGAATGAACATGGGAACTGCACCATTACAGCTGTGCTTCTTAAACATTACTTTTCATTTTAATACATTTCCTTAATAAAAAATATAGTATATATCGTTGCCTCAAGTCAACAAAGATTTTAGTAACCCCAGCTCTTATTGCACTTATAGATTGTAATATGTAAGACATTTTAGTATTTTCCAAAAGGAAAACAAAATTTTGATCAGGACATAACTGGAGAATGAAGTGATCATAAAACAGTACTGAACAAAAGTCACTTGCTCTCAAACCGTTGTCAGTTACCTAACAGCCGTGGCAGAATGTTATGTTGCTTCATAACTCATGAAACTGTTTTCAAACACTCTTTGTATGACACAATTCAAGAATAACATCTAACCCACCCAAGATATTTTCCTTACAGTTATATCACTCTCTTTAAAATATTAAGACTCACTGATACCACTCGTAGCAGCTGGGCTCTACGTGAGATATGCATAGCTGAGCCACTGCTAACTGTTCTAAATATTAAACCATTTTGAGAAAGGCCCTAATTTTGAATGGCAATTTTTAAAAAGTGGAATTTTAAAAGAGATGTGTCACAGTATATAGAGTAGAACATTCTTATATGACTTTTAATGTATATAATTATATGTTTTTTAGGCAATGAAGAGAATGGTATTGGGTAGAAGTGTCTCATGCTGGTTTTCAAGGAGATAATCCTTTTTATTTTTTTTAAGGTGCCATTATTAATTTAATTTGAGAAATGGAGCATATTATGTTCTCTTCCCAATTTCACAAGTGACATTGAGGGAAGTAAAAGTCCTAGGAGGACCTTTTTTGGTTCTAATGCTGGGTATCAACATCCTGTAGAACCAGTCCTCCACAGAAGACATTTTGGGAAATATTACTCTACACTAAAATATGAAATTTGGTCTGACTTAATTATTTAGTAAACATTATCATAGTAAAAATTAAGGTATATTAGTCATAAAGGGTAGAAAATGCATTTGAATCAACAGCTATAAATTTTAATCATAAGAATTTTAGAACATAATCTATATGAATGCTTTTTCATCGACAATGACTCCCTCTGGAATTACCCCAAGTCAAATAATAGTCACTTGGTGGGCAATAAAGAGAAGATAGATGTAAGTCTCGTGTAAAGTAACTGAGCTAAACAAAAACTGGAATCCCTGATATTTGGCAGGATGTTGACAATCTGTAATATATTTATGTAAATCAATGAGGAATGTGACCAGGTTGCCTATAACCCCTACACTTGAAAAACAAAAGAGCCAGACAGGTCTGAACAGCTGAACATAAACACTGGAAAATAACTTCATTGTATGATTTATTGTGTTGACCAACATCTTAAGACTTTTTTAAACTTTTTTTTTGTTGCTATTTTAGTAAACTGACAAAAATACCATTTCAATGATTGCTTGACTGCAGTTCCATGAGAGAAATATAATCACACTGTGTTGAATATGAACAAAATATCTCAGATTACTTTTAGAGGAAATGAAAACTACCATTCAATATTTATTTATCAGAGTTAACTTAATGTGACCTGAGTGAATGCTCAAAAAGTAGAAGTGAAAAGTGGTTTTCAGCACTCACTGAGTCTGTGAATCCAGTTTGCTGTGCTAAATGCAATCCAAAAAAGGCAGATAGGGCGTTATCATTTCACAATTAAGTCAGCCAAGCCCTCACTCTCCCATTAAGTAAGTTCTCTCTGTCTCTTTTGTCCTGACCCCCCAGCTGCAGGGCAGAGAGCAAGTACTGTGGTCCAGCACAGCACTCAGCTTTCCAGCTGTCCCAGTGATGTAATTATCTCATAACAAAATATCTCCATGAATTAACTCTGTATCCTACTCACTGTAATTCTTAATGACTGCTTCCTGTTCATGTTCTCCATTTAACTTGCTATTCTGGATCTACTGCGTTGTAGGCAAGTTGTCTTCATCTAATGGACGGGATTATATCTGGTAGGTTTGAGATTTCCAAAGATTATAATTTACAAAGATCTCCCAAACAACCTGCTTTGTAAACACAAGCCCTGCCTTTCTAGTGTAGTTATAATAAGTGGGAAATTTGCATTATATGCTGTGATTAAATTTTAACCTGTCACAGGAAGTTCAATGAGGATTTTTCCTGTAACATTTTTTCCATACTCGTGAATGTTTAGACATCAAATAGTTCAAGAACTCTAAGATGTCTGGCACAGCTGCCTAAGGGCACTAAACAAAATTTTATCTGAACTACAACTAGCCTTTAGAATTGAGAAAAAAATTTTTTAATCTCTAATCTCTTCCTCTATAGCCCATGAAGCACATTCTGTGACTATAGCTTGCATGCACCAGATTTATGTTCACACATCCCACTAGCTCTATACTACTGGATACTGGCCAGTGTTCTCCTTTTGCTCATCAAATATGGACTGGGCGTGCACTTATTCTCAACCGACACTGGATGGTGTAACTGCAGAAGTACTTGCCTCCGACAATAATGAGCATGCTGCTAGAAGGAAATCACCTTTTCAGCAGCATCCATAGACATTCATCAGTACCTACCACTGTACTTGGTTTTATAGATTCCGACAGATCTAAGGTAGGTACTGTCTTTGAGAGCTTTACTAATTGGAGGAGAGAAGAATGACATGTAAAATGATAAGTAATGATATATGGGTATGTATTAATTCCAAATAAATTTTATAGACAGTATATAAAACTTTATATATCACATCAGAGTAAATTCCTTCTATACCCTATTACATTATACATCTGTGATGACTGCCTTTCCAACATCCATTACTTCTTTGGGAAACCATATTCTCATTTCCTGTTGAGGAACTACTCCTACCCTATACTCAGGCAATATGGTTTTGAGACTATGGGTGCAGCATGGCATGTAACTTATCCCGGACAAACAGTGACAATGACTAACTCAGGGATGAACAGGACCATGAGAATCAGTCCCAAAAATTTTACTAGAACTTCTGAGAAAGTAGAGCCCTCTTTATTATGGGATTACCAGCAGCTAATGGTTGTCTTTGCCACCATTTTAGTGAGCCTACCATGGTACATGCAGCCAACACCGACAGAATCAGAAAAGAGAGA